TTCTCAGGCGGTGAATCTTCTCAGGCGGTGAATCTTCTCAGGCGGTGAATTTTCTCAGGCGGTGAATCTTTCAGGCGGTGAATCTTCTCAGGTGGTGTATCTTCCAGCCGGTAGAGGTAGTTATCTTATCGCCCTCGTTAAATCCCGATTATTCCGTTCGGAGGACTGTTCTACTTGGAAGTGTATGATCTACACCTTAGCACATTCCTTGGACGTACAAGCTCTTGCGACTGTGAGAAAGGGTGCGCAATCAAGGCGCACATGTCTGTTCTGCGCAACTCTACGACCACGGAAACGTGCGCAGAGTAGAAGCCACGCCCCACGCCTCTAACATCAAAAATTTTCATGGTATGTTGGCATTTTTCTCTTCGAAAACTGAAGCCCACTTGGTAATTCAAATTCGAAATTTAACTATGACATCATCTAATACAGCGATAGCGGCTCCAGCTAAATTGCCAAACTTTTCTTAGGCTGCGAAAACACTGCCCTCACAGACCCGTGTTAGACACGAAAATTTCGAAGGTACGCCACAAGAACACAAATCGAACTTGGTACAAAAGTCAATACGCGAAATAATTTTCGAGAATATATCTGAATACATAATCCATACCCATATATGTACGTTCATCATCGTGACTAAAAGATACTTTACTGTTCCTCGAAGACCGTGCAAAGTACTCCTGCTACTATGGAAGGGTACGCAAACAAAGACTCATATTTTCTATGCTCTGGGCATTTTTACGATTGAGGAAAGTTGCACCGAGAAAAAGCTAATGGTAAGCTGGATCCGACCCATGAAAATTGAAATCAGCATAGTAGTCTATACGTAGTGTCTTCGCTCACGAGTAGTCCTACCCGCTCTTCTCAAGCCAACGATCACCACCGTAATTATCAAGTTTAATTGCTTTGTCGACCAGGCAAAGCACAACAGTTATGGAAAGTAAAATATATCCAAAATGCCCTTTTTCATGCGACTGGAAATGTCAGCCGATACATCGTCACCGTCCTTCAGACAATTAAGAGTTTCATAAGAAGTTATGTAGACACGTTCACACAAAGCCCTCCCGAACCATATATTGAGAAGTTCAAGCTCCTCAGGCTTTCCATCATACGCTTCACTCCACCAAAAGCGATGTATTTTAAGCAGCTCAGTGATTGTTTCTTCGGTCAGTTTAAAATGTACCCACGTACCGAACTTAATCACATATGCGTTGACATGGACAAGTTCATAACCTGGGCCTAAACCGTTACTGTAAGCCTTGAGGGCATGTCAAACATGATAGAACAAAGAGTCCAATCGCGCAAGGTTGACGCAGAATTTGGTGAATTGTAGCTCGACACGGATTTTGAAAGCGGTTTATTAGGGTTTTATTATGCTTCTCGCCCAAGAGAAGGCCTATAGCCATGAACGCTCTCGTCCCTGTTTTACCCTCGCGCCAGACGGTCCCTCTCGTTCCTCTCTAATGGCAAGGTCTAAGTCAATTAAAAATGCCGGCCATGATGGATTTCCTTCGTTGTCATTGACAACCAGATTTCCAGTAAAATTGTCACCTTGCAACAATCCTGTCCTCGTGTGAAGCGATTTATAGCCTACGAAGGTTAGTAGAGCACTGTATGGATCGATAATGACCCACCCTCTATGCAGCTCCCTAGTGCCGAAAGTAGGCAGAGACGTGATTTTGCCTTGTATATGGGGATTCCATAGTCACGGATAATAACTCGACGATGCACGCGATTCTGCAGCACATGGTAATGTTTACATGTGGAAGGTGAGCTCGAGCAGGTGCGTTTGCTAGGGGGTAGGGTTGCATCGGTGGAGCAATTGTTCAGCTTGCGTCCATTGCTTGCGGTCGCATTTTCTGGTCGATTTGCTGATCTCGCGGTACCTGGCTTCGGAGGGCAATCTGTGCTTTACTTGCAGCCTTGCAGCGGGGGGAAGAGCTCATCCCATTTGAAATAGCAGATCACGTTAGCCTCCATTACACGACATTCCGAGACCCACCGCATCTGTCAGGTGTGTCAGGCGCACGCAAAAGGGAAATCCGAGAGGAGCGAGAAAGGTATCTGGGCGAAAAGGAGAATCATGTCCGTCAATGTCGGGATGTTGTCACCGACCAATGGCCGTGTGAAAGACCCCAGCTACCGGACATTCCTCGCCTAGACCGCCAGAACGCCTCGGAGGCCTGTGCCTTGCTGTGTACCTAGTGGTACCAAAACCACACGTTCCTCCGGTTCTTGCGAGAAGTCCAGGCCCGCTTGGAGGCGCTAGGTACTGAACCAGACGAGCAGAACCGAGCAGAACCGGAGCGTTCCGCCCGCCCCCTCTCAACAGGCCCGTTCCGCAGAGAGATCTTTCTTGCCCCCTTCATTTCTTAGACCTGTTACGGACACATGATTTTCCGACGGAAGTCCCACCTTTACCGGTGCCCCTCACATTCAACCGACCGCGCGTTCCACGGTGCTATAATCATGATACTACTCCGGAGCTTGATTCTCTCATTTCTGAGTTTTGCGGCAACCCCTACTAAGTGGAGTTGTTGGCCCCCTCCAGCCTGCGGGACAGCCTCGAGGCTCTGGAAGCGCGTGAGCGGCCAGGTTCGCCCACCTCGCTGTCTGTGCCGCGGGACGTTCTTGAACGGCACTGCCGTGTTCTCACACAACAGCGAGACGACCTCTGGGACCGTCTCCGTGCAACGTTAACCGTCGCCAGTGGGTCCGCAGAACGCATTTCTAGTACAGGGTGTTTGGATATCGGTGTTGATACCAGCTTAGAATACTTAGATATTCAATTAAATCTGACGTCGGTCGTCTCCCAAGTAAAGCGTTCTCACCGATTTCGCTATTGTATCTATATAGTGTCGGGCTAATACTGTCACACAAGCTTCTTTTCTGATGGGGCCGTTCCTGAAGGTCAGGTGCACAGACGTCACAGCTAGCCAGGGCCCCACTCGATGTTGCCCAATGTACCGCAGCACATGGGGTTGGTTTGTAGGGGCGGTTGCCGGCGCTTATTGGGTGGCGGGGAACTCAAGAAAACGTCCCGACCTTCATTTGGGAGCGTTTGCAGTGTGGGGGCGGCAAACAATTGGCTTTGCTGCGTCTTTGTACACAGCAGCATGCAACCTCTATGCACGACGGTCATTCTGCCTTGTTCTAAATCTAGAATCATGTTCTCGCGGGCATGTTAGCTTTCATTGGCGTATTCAAGAGGATCAAGGTCTTGAAATTCCATCTCTAAGGGCGCGGCACTCAAAAAGGCCTCACCTGGGTGTCCAAGCAATACCACCTTAATACTGTGGGAATCATGGCCGCAAGCACCCGCCTGTGGTGGATGGCGTCTATGTAACCTGATGAAGCATCTCGAATAAACCTTGCGAGGGGGCGGGGGGCATCAACTCTCAGGTGTTTAGCGACAACACATTCAGCTATTATCGATAAGCAGAAGTCATATGATACAGGATGGCTTGTCCTACTTGCATCTGTGACCGGCGATTGGATGGTGTTTTGGTGGTTTCCACACGAGTATTGACGGATTGTCGGTAGCAGGTAAGAAATTCTTCTATATGGGACTCTTTTTCGAAGTTCTTTTCGCCAGTCCTGCATGCGTATTGTCTCCCTGCGTACGGAAGTGGTGGTATAGAGCTTCGGATCAGGGAAAGCCTTTGAGGCATATGGGGCAGACGAGATCAATGAACGAGGCTTGGAGAACCTTCTTGAGAATCTCTACACTCCTTTGCGGGCTAGCCATGATGTTCTCGAACAGATAAAAACAGCAGGCCACATTTTCCGGCGATTCCATAAGAGATCAAGATAATCATATACTTCGCTGCCCAGATAAGCTGGTGCTGTGCAGGGCAAGGAGATAATTTTTACCTCTATCATATATTACAAGGATGTTTGGTCCTACACGAAGACTCATTATTTGTCTCCATTAATGACACTACTGCAGTAGGAGCAACACACTTGAACAGTCCCACTCCCTTATATGCAGCCAACAGCCTCGATTCAATGCATAACGCAAGTGCGCGACAACCAATGAGTTCTCCTAAGCCGCATATCGACTCACTCAAATACACTCCGGGGATCGGAGAGATTACGGTAGGATATGCGGCACCGGTTGTTTCTTGCTTCCTGTCGAAGTCGATCTAACTTCCGCTCGTCGAATCTTCCTTCGTGAAGGGATGTTGCTATTTGATCCAATTCACTACAGCTCCATCCAGCCTTGACTACTGCAGCCGTAGCTTCTGGCCCAATCGATTTGTACTCGCTCCAAGGGCAACGGTCGGAGAATCGGTTGCGGCAGAATTTGACTACCAGGTCATCAGCACCCCTTTCCACGTCTGCGAAGCATATGACCTGGCTAGATTTAGTACAGTATACAAAACATACAGCAAACACGTTGCTCACCTCCTTCTTTTGGCTGCCGCCTGATGACAATATACATTGCCTAATTCGAAGGGGAACGAGGCTGGCGAGGCAGTCCATCTTGTACAGGATTCAAATAAATGTTCTATATTTGTGCTATCGTGCAAGAGATGAGGCTGGGTCGTGTACAAAGAGTCCTTGAATATCGGAACAAGGCACCTGTATTTATAATTTACTCCGTTGGTCTGATGTCCTACGCTCAAGATATAATGGTTCCTTTACTTTTCGATCGCTCGACTTGAAAACACCAATCATATACATTCAGAAACACCCCTATAGTCCACCAGCCAATGGTATGAAAACTAATAATACGGAGAGCTCATGGACTTCCCAACGCGTACGGTCAGTTGACGGTATTTTCATTGAGCAGAAGTGTCGAATTTAAGACTCGTAACTTGTAGTGAATAGATGACAACTTAATCGAACCAATAGCGGACATCGAGTAGCGTAAGTGGGGCGGCGCAATCTTGCAATGCCCAGATAACCCAGGCCATTGAATTGATCAATAGAGCGGAGGGACATTGTACTGACACCAATCAAAACACCGACTATAATCAAAAGAGCGCTTACTCGCCCCACAACTTGAGAGGCTGGAAGCATACCAATACCAACAAAATAAGAAAAAGGGGAAATTAGTGCAACCTCTTAAGACGCCGTCGTTTCGGGCTCGGAACAGATCGTCGGAAATTTTCATTTGCACCCTTCAGGGAACTTGCAGGTGATAGGGAGACAGTCCTTCCGGCCGTAATGAAGTGATTGATGGGATGATGGATGATAGTTGAATATGATGTATTGGTTATTGAGTGTCTAGCGGACGATGCCGGCAGAGTAAACTTCCAGTTTCTCCGCTAGTTTCTCCGCCAGTTTCTCCCTCCAGTTTCTCCCTCCAGTTTCTCCCTCCAGTTTCTCCCTCCAGTTTCTCCCTCCAGTTTCTCCCTCCAGATCCTCTCTTCGGTTCTTTTCCCCTTGATATGGTTTCAAAAAAACCTCGGAAGCCACTTTCTCATGAAGAGGCATGGGCAAAGATTGAGATCATGAGACATGTCTACCAAAACCATCAGGAACAAAAAGCTGAAAAGTTCAGCAAGACTGAATCTCAACGCACTATAGTCAAGAGAATGAAACTACGGCAACGCTTAGAACAGATACGCGCAGAGTGCAGTCCATATGGCGAAGATGCTGTACGTCTTTGCTGCCGTGCTCTTACGCAATCCTCAATAGTCGACATGAACAAACATCAGTGGTCCCTTTTCATGAAGAGATTGGAGAAGGAAAAGACGGGGCCGATGTTCAATTTTAGGGGTGATATCAGATATGATCATGCATCACTCAATGGCATCGCAACCATATTCGAGGAAGGATTTTGCAACTCCATTAGCAAAACCTTAATTCAGAGGGAGGAACTATATATTCCCGTGGCAGCCGTGACAATGATATTCCCTCGCTGGAATCGGGATCCTTGTGTTTTGATGGTCGATATAGCGAAGGGAGCAACGGATCTTGCTACGGATCTATTCGAAACCACTTACCAGCTGGTGGGAGACGTTTGGCACATGAGCATTACAAGTGGTCCTAGCCTAGCTCTTGCTGCCACAGATAACGCGACTATGACAATAAGTGGTGCCAAGAAAGAAGCTATCCTAAAGGTCTTTGGCTCCAGAGTACTGGAGGCTTTGGATGACATCGTACCAGAAGGCTCAGAAAATTGGAGATCAAAAAGTGTATCTATGACATTCCGAAAGCAGGGCGTGATTTGCCAGGTTGCCCTCGACCCAATGCGTGCTGTTGGTTTGGCCAAAATGCTATATGTCTAGGAATAGACCACTTTGACTTTCCCGTAGGTGAGATACACGCTAGTACCCAGCTCTAGCCTTAGTTTGCCGTCGGACGTGGTGTCACCGTGTAGTGTCTTCTTTGCTCGACCACTGTGGTCGGTTTCCGTGATTGAAGCAAAAGAGTTCTGCCAGTAGACAGTCTCCTTTCCTGTGCCGTGTACAGTCAACACTTTGTTTTCGCCAACCCCATCGAAGAAGTTAGGGTCTGTGTCTAGCGGCTCTACTTTGAATCCCTGGTAAATGTTAGACGAAAAACGAACCATGCGATCGTAACTTACCATCGGAAGACAAGTGCATGCGCAGCAATCCAACACCGACTGTGAAAAATACTCGTGTTGAGAACTTAGTAGAAAGGTTCTGATCAAGTTGCTTGATTTGGTATTGTGACTGCAATGATATCACAGTAAAGTGCTACTTCTGTGGCGCCTTCAGAGTCTTGTGAGGTCGTTGAAAATGGTCAAAGAGCAAGAAGGTTAGCAACCCAATCACATGACCGTCCCACTTCTGGCATCAATTTTAGCCCCTCGTAACGTTAGCCCCGCGGCAGTCAGAAACCTGAGTCAGCCACCGATGATATTACGTAACTAACGTAAAGCACTTGTCGCACGGCCCAGTTTCACAATGTCATATAGAAGATGACTTCGAAAATCACTTCTCTGCAATCACCAGTGTATCGTGTCATCGGCTGTACAAAGGCACACAGTACCTACTTCAGCAACAGGGCACATACACTCTACCAGAAACACTATGAAATATTGAACCTCAATCAGCTATCTTTCGATTGGAATATCAGCTCGGTCTTTTCCATCTATAATTTATGTATGAAAAGAGACCACCAATATTCTATTCATATCAATTAGTATAGAGGATAAAATGCAAGTACTACAGTATAAAAATATAATACTGTTGTCATTTGGATTGTGCTTTGCATATATCTGGTATATGTTATCATGATTTTCTTCCCTTCTCTACAATGTATTGTTGAAAATTCAGTTTTCTCTTTCTCATGATTCATATTGTTATGTACATGTATTTATATACCAGGCTTATGATCTTTGTCTATGCTTCTCCATGAAAATTTGGCTTCTGATTAGGCTTTCACGTAGCCATAGTAAAGTATTATGGAGCCGGAGAGAGAAACTGGAGGAAGAAACTGGAGGAAAACTGGAGGGAAAAAACAGAAGGAGAAACGGGAGAAAGAAACAGGAGACAAACTGGAGGGACCATCAGGAGGGAGATTGGAGGGAGAAACGGGAGGGAGAAACAGGAGAAAGGAACGGGAGAGGTGTCACGAGACTTGCCAGTATTACATGACGGTATCCATGCTCCCGACATAAGGTGCACGTGATGAGACCTTTAACTTCAATATGACCTTACGTTCCGCATCTCTTAACCTGCGAACAACTTTTGCTGCTTCTTCAGTGATAGATTGAAGTTTGCCTTAGAACCTCGTTTCAAAGTGTCGAGTGTATTTGAGCTCCCACTTGATCTCGTTATGGCTGAAGTCAGCTGGAGGGACTTATTTTTTTCCAACAACCCTCCGGGGTTTCTCAAAGGAGAAAACACAGACGACTCAGTTTTCCTCCCCTTTTGTGCAGAAAACGAAAATTGGGAACTAGGAGAGATGGTCGACAAGTCGAGACTCGCAAAAGAAAACGATATACAGGTATTTTGGCTTCGAATCGAAGGGCGAAGTAAATACGTCGGCAAAGTTGTAAGTCGACAGGTACAACTGGACGTTCTTTCAACTGACCATAATTAAGTTTCCCGAATTCACCGAGGAACAGGCTATAGAGCAGCTTCACCGTCTCGGAGTGTCTGTGGGTGATATTCCAAGAAGGCTAAACGATGCTTTGCACGAATTCGATAGATTCTTTCGCGAAGCTCGGGCATATAGTCATGTCGACAGATTTTGCCTGAGTCGAGAGAAAATATATTTTCCAAGATTTTATGGTGTGGTCACCGACATGACAAGATATCGGTTCTCGTCTGGATATGCGCATCAACGGGCTGTGGTGCTCGAGGCAATCAAACCTCACTTGAGCTCTCGACGTGTTCTCAGTGAAGAGGGCGGGGTCGTCTCTAACCTGCCTGAAAGCTTCCTGACGACACTGAAGGACCTGCAGCTGAGTCCATTTGAACAGAAATGGTACTGCTCTCTGCTTACGGATCGACTTCGCCGCTTAAATGCCCTACACAAAATCGGGGTAACCCATGGAGATGTCAAGGACTGTCATTTTCGACTTCCTGGTGACTTTTACGATACAGTTCTATATGACTTTTCCGCATCGTATGCTTTCTCCGATAAGTGGCCGTTCAGGGTTAATTCGGGCAGACCCCGGCCGCTAAAACGAATAGCAAAGGGCGAACGTCAGCGTGTTGAGCTTCAGGTTACGGAGCGGTAAGGGGAAGTCCTAAGTCTACTATCATCACTAATGTACAACTAGAGCTACGTCCCGAGACTTTCGTTCTCATTTAATCAAATCGAGTTCCGAGAAGGTGGTTGATGATGTACTTTGGCAATCTTTCAATGAAGACGAACAACCTTTGGAACTGCTTATATTTAAACTCCGCAATCGCCCGGATTGTCAGTATCCCTTGTCTTTCATCCCGCATATCCGCATCTAAGAAGCTCACTATGCTAGATTTTTCGATGCCGAGTCTGAACTCGATCTTTCCCTTCCTGGAAGCGGGATGTCCAAAGTCCGATTTTTGCTGGCAAATCCGTCGGGGCCAGCTTTTACATCATTATGAACCGTTTTGGGCAGTCTACCATAGCCCCAAAGACCAGGCCTCGTCGTTATCCTTCAGTTGGGAGGTGCAGCTTGAATCTGTCGAGATATACGAGTCAACCTTCTTTATGCTTTGCCTAGTGCCAAAGTCTTGGATTCAAACATCGGGTGCGAATTGCGATTCTCAATCAAAGGTCAGGGGACTTGGCGACAAGTTACGGCAAGCCTGTCTGCACCTTGGATCATCAGGAGGTTGTGTCTCTGTCATTGAACTTGACAATTTTATGTGCATAGATGAGGGGAAATTTCTGTAGAGCGAATTTGTGAACTCCAAGTTGCAAAGCGGGCCTTCATGTACTTGAGCTTGATGTTTTTGCGAATGGGATCTAATGTACAGTACTGTACTATAAGAGAGGGAAACCCAATATCTATAATCACGGCTCAAGTAAGCTACATTCCCACTGGAACTCTGTCTTCACTGAGCAAAAATTGGCCGATCGCACAACTTGAACTAGCAGCCCTCGATAAAGGCTGCAAGTATAGCGCAAATCGTCACAGTGAAATGAAGTTCAGATGGGAATTTGAGGACACTTAGGTAGTCGAGCAAACGTTTGAGCGAGAACCAAAGTATAACTTATGCTTTAAATGTGTACAGTCACTACTAATAACACCGTAACCAAATCAACTTCGGAACAGCAAGCTTTTTTTTTCTTTTTTGAAGACGAACTAGACTCAACACAAGGAAACATACACTGGGAGCAGCACACCACTATCCAAAGAACAAACATTCCTAAATCCAGAAGTCCGTGTTGAACGGATCGAATTAAGCCTCTCATTAATGAGCGGAACCGCAGTTCATGTTGAATGAAAGCAGTTGAAAGAGAGCATCTTGTGTCCAATATGCCTAGGGTGCGAATATATTTGACCGTAGATAAGGCGGTTTTCCAGAAAATTTGATGATGTGATTGCCAATTTGCTTCCAGTTTTCGGGGGTGTCATTAAAGACCCAGTTACTCGAATTCTTGGTTCTCCTATAGAATAATAATAGGAAGTGTGGGTTTCATCCCAAACTACCTTGACATCACGGTACTGGGTATCTGTTCGCGAAATATTTGTCGATGGGCTACCCGTTTTGGGGCTTGTCGCTGTTACAGAACTTTCTTTGCCTTTGCCAGTCCGTGATTGCTCTGGTGATTGTTAGTACCGCGGCATTTGAGTAGCAGAGGACCCGCCGTGAGCCAGAAGTGAGGGGTACTCGGTTCTAAGGTCATTGCCGTCCTCATCTGCTAGACGGATCAAACAATAAAGGGCCAATTTTATTGTCAGGCCCTTCCGGGCATTCCAAGAGACTCTCTTGTACTTCAAGAGTCCGATCCTAGCTCTCAAAGCGGATTCTTTGACAGATTCATCGAGTGACATTTTGTCGGTAAATTGCTTTGAGATCTCCGACGAAGACAATACCCGTTGATGTGAGGCTGATGGCCTAGTGCGGACAGGCCTTGGCGAGGTTCGAATAGGGTCGGGTGCCAGATGGAGTTGCATAACCACAAGCTCTTTCTCCGTGATAACAAAGACGTATCGACATCTGTAAACAGCGCCATAATACTGAACTTGTTCGATAGGTCTGACATCATCTCTCTCCGGTGCGTCCTCGTAGGAATCATCCTCGCTGTTCCGGACTGTGTCAATACCGCAAGCTGAATCCCACTTGAACTTGGTATCACCAAGAACGAGAGCATTTGCTCTGCCATGCTCATTCAAGTCGATCTCACGCCCAGCCCCCCAGTCAGGTAAGCATCCCAATTTCTCCCAGACTCTTCCGCCCGAGGTGATGAATAGAGGCTTCAGTACTGCTGATACGGGAACCGTTATCGACATGCAGACGAGGTCAGACAAGCCACGTTCATCAAAAATCTTGTTATAACCCGCTTCCTCACACTTTGTTGTGGCGTCAAACTGAGCGACTTGGCATCTTAAATCACGTTCGAACCGCTCGGTAAGGACCTCATAATTGAACTCGGTCCATTCTTCCACATTTTCGATTGTGTCCCAGTCTTCGTTGAAGGTGAAAGTTGATCCTCCTCCACTAGGGAAAATGACCCTTGGATTGGGTTTAAGCAGGTAATTCAGTAGTGTTTCTGTCATGTTTGGAGGTCTTGGGAAGGACGAAATGATAGTCCTATCTTGCACAAGATAGACATATTCCTGTTATTAACTTATATATATATGCTCCCATGACATTTCTTAGGTAAGTATTTGGCTTCACGATGGCTGATCATTTGGTATCAACCCCGCTCCGCTACGTACGATAGTGCCATTACCCATTGACAATACATATCCGATTTTGAGACGAAAGCGCATCCAATACCCACCAAGAGGCTTACAGCAAAAGACGGAGAGAACAACGAATGGTATAGAGGGAGATACAGGAGGGACAATCAGGAGGGAAACTGGAGGGAAAAACTGGAGGGAAAAACTGGAGGGAAAAACTGGAGGGAAAAACTGGAGGGAAGGAGGGACAATCAGGAGGGAAACTGGAGGGAAAAACTGGAGGGAGAAACTGGAAGTGGAGGGAAAAATAAGAGGGAAACGAGGCAAAAATGAGGAAAGTTGATACCGGTAGTATGAGTAATACAAGTATTGTGAGTAGACAGGTCCGAGGGATTCTGCCGATTGATTATTACATTCAATACAGCTTTTCAAAACACCGTAACATGGTCCGAAGTGGGTACAAGTGGGGCAAGGAGAAAGTCCTGGACACTGATGCAGTCCATGGTATGCTGTTCATAATAGAGCTTCTTGACTTATCCTGGTGGAAGTATCCGCGGCACACAACGCGTGTGGTTGAGTTAAATTTTTTAGGGGATTTAGATTCCTGGGGCTGAGAGCGTTCTCGCTTAAATATTTGTAATATTACAACATGTCATCCGGTAATAAACCATGTGAAAACAGTATATAATCTACTACCGGCAGTGTTGCCTACAGTGCCCAGAATACTCTCTAGTGTCGTGAAAGCGAACTATCTATTCTATTTATCCTATCTCTTCTGCTCCATACTCAGGAGTTTGACCAGCAATACCAACATATTCTCCGATAATGAATTCTACCTATGCGGTGTCCAGTATCCTGCCACCTGAAGCTATACTAGAGAGACTTCTACCGGGCCACGACTTTCTAGTGCGCCTTCTCTATTCCTATTCTCAGTCAGATGCTTCAATTTATCTGCTCAGCGCATTGGCCTGTCTCGTACTCGTCGCATATGCTGGACCGATACTCTGGAACAAAATCCAATCCTTCCTCCTTTTTTTTGCGGCTTCGGGGGAGATCAGGTATAATGATCCTCTGTATGATGATGCTATGCACTGGGTCTCGAAACACCCTTCCCTGAGAAATGCAAGGCACTTTAGCATTACTCTGAAGACCGGCTTTACCTCTCCATGGCATAGAGAGGATGCAGCAACTAGTGACAACACAGCTACCACTCACAAAGATATAACAAGATTTAACGACGATCCAAGAGATTTCTGGACCAAGTGGAGAGAGCTAAGCAGACATCGACCGATTTATTATTTGCCTGCAGCTTCTTGTCTTCACTGGTTCATGTACAAAGGGCATCTGTTTGGATTACTTCGTCAGCCATATAAAGATTCTGGTAATCCATGGTTTGACCACCGGGAGAAGCTGATTATCTTCTCCTGGAGTCAGCATGCAATCAGGCTTCTTGTGAATGACATACAGGAAGATGCCAAGGAAAACAACAGTCACCGGATACAAGTTTACCGGGGGTTGCAGGACGGGCAGAACAAAGAATGGTGTAGTTTCTCATCGATAACCCCACGCCTCTTATCAACCGTCGTTATGGATCCCAAGATCAAAGCCAATCTTATCAGTGACCTGGCCAGATACCTTAATCCGGCGATGAAAAAATATTGCGGAGAGCGTGGCATTCCGTACCGACGAGGTTACCTCTTCCACGGCCCGCCAGGTACGGGGAAATCAAGCCTGTGCCACACTCTTGCTAGTGTGGCCTGCCTTGATATCTATACAGTCAGTCTCAGCTCCAAGACCATGACCGGGGACCTCCTTCATCGCTTATTTGCATCTCTTCCGAGCCACTGTATCGTGGTTTTTGAGGATGTTGATCAAGCTGGTGTTGAAAATCGCAGTGCGAGTAGCACATCAATACACTGCAAAGCCGCTAGTGATGATGATGATGATGATGATGACGAAACCAAATGCCTCGATATTCCAAAGCGCACCGAGAGCGCCGCGGGTGGTATAACCCTTTCCGATCTACTCAATGTTATTGACGGGATATCCGCCCGAGAAGGCCGTATCTTAATCATGACTACGAACAAACCCGAGGATTTGGACGAGGCTCTTAAACGCCCAGGCCGTGTAGACTTACAAATCCGCTTTGACTTCGTGAATACGCACGCTGCCAAAGAACTGTTTCTCATACCCTATGTCGAATGTCCAACCGAAGACTTTATCGTCGATCCAGAAACGATGGAAATCCGCTGTTCATTGAAACCTGTTATCAAAGATTTGACTCTTGAAAGACTGGCTGGTCTAGCAGATTCCTTCGCACGGAAAATTACCGTGGGAAAGTACTCTTCTGCGCAGCTTCAAGGATACCTGATGCAGTTCAAAGGCGATCCCGTGTCCGCCGAACGTAACGTGGAAGACTGGATGCAGCGAATGGATGCAGAGAAAGCAGGAGATATGTTGCCTTGATTCAGTGGCTGCTGATTGCATCTGCATCATTTTCAGTAGCACATGCTGCGGGTTATGTTGTCTTGCATGGAAGGGAACAGGTTGATGGTATACACTGTATCTATTAAGGGACTGTGAAATGGGAGCTGCAGAAGATATGTTGATGTTGCTAGGACTGGTATTTATTAGGGTACGTTTTTCTAGAAGGATGGTGAACGATTGCGATTGCTGTGTCATGATAGTGTAAGTTGGATACCATGCGTGCTCTACGTCCTGACATAGCCCAGATTGAATAAGTACACCGTAAAGCGACAAAGTTTGAGACGTATAAGCATCCTGCCCCATCAGTCTCTGCCTATAAGACGCGGCTCGAGTGTATCTAAGGTCGTGCTTCTTCAACGGACCGATGTATCAGGCAGATCAAACCGGCAACTTTTCTGGATAGTATTAGCCTCTGTGGAAACGATGAGCAATGGCTAGGGTGGTGCTGACCTGCGCATCTTCCATAATTCATTAAAGATATCAAATAGACGTTTACCGAAAACCCCGCACACTGCGAGTGTATAGAATATACAGATCGAGGGCCATAGTTATAACATGCAGTGAAACTTTGTCGAATATCCCATCACATCGTTGTTCAAAATCTCTCATAGCTGCAGTAGCCTGGTTTGATATAGTCGACATCATTCCTGATATACATCGCTCACCCTCTTATATACTATTGGGCGGTATTATACATTCCTACTTCCGTAGAGAATTAGTGTGTCGTATCAACAGGTGTGATGATTTATCACGTGCCTACCCCGCTCACAACGTAATAGAGGCAAAGGAATCTCCGCGCAGTAATCAAAACATACAACACTCTTAGACTCATCTCAAATTGGAGGGAGGTGGTTATAGTTTCCTTGAAGGGGTATTATCGCCATCTGAAAAACCCATCAAAGATTTAAGAGACCAAGGCTAATCGGAAACTTCACGATATGGCGAAATCCCGATTCTTCGAAATTCTCCACTTTAGTCCGTGACCACATGCATAGAGGAGCTTCAGTATGTTATCATTTCTTTGAATGTTGTATTGCTCTTGTATAGAGTATACTGAATATTTCTAGTCCCTCCTCTTCTATTAGGGAAAGGAGCAAAATAAAATTTACATAGAGCCGAGGATTGTCCGTTATGACGGTGACAGCACTCAGCCGCAGACCTTTGTCATTGGTACTCCAAGTGATAAGAAATCTCAGCTTGTTGTCCTATTTCGTCCACTAGCTGAAGAGCTTTGTAGTGGAAATGGATTCTTGGAAATCTGCTCTGGCTCCTTCACTAGTGATGAAAATCAGGTATATGATTGGTTCCAGCTGGATACAGATCGGTCTGGATCGAGGTGGGAACCAGTTTCAGTCGGCCAGAATCGGGTTTTGGTTATCCAGGCAGGCACACTGGTTCGATTTAGTCCGGGTAAAAGTTTATGTGATTTCGTATGCATGGGCTACTCCGACAGCCAGGCAACCCTTACGCGGAGCGATATTGAGTTTGAATCATTGGTTGCCCCATTCTTACGACGTATCCCTGAACAGGAGAGACTCCAGGTACTTTGCAGTCCTGTACTACCGGTCCAGGATCGGAAATACCAGAGCATTAGGACAATGAAGGACAGCGGTGATCCGCAACTCCCTAGTCCAAACACGGAGTTAAGTCCACCTCTCCGGAAAGACTGGAACACTATTACACAGCTTATCCATTCCCTGCGCAATCAGGATCAGCAAATGATTCGATTTCTTAATGGCGATCGATTTGAGGATATCTTTGCAAGCAGCCCACCGAATAAGATTCTCAGCAAAACCCCCAAGTCTGAGAAACTTCGTTATCTGCTTAATGTGAGGTGGACCAGGACGAAACACCAAGCAAGCTCTGCTGGTACTGGCCAACGCAGTATACCGAGCTTGGGAACGGTCTAGGGTGGTAACGCTGATCGCGTTCGACCTAAAAGGCGCGTTCAATGGATCCACCAAACCAGCCTCGACGCTCGGCTGCGAGCGAAAGGCATCCCACCGAAAGCCCGGCAATGGATCCGCAGCTTCATGGAAGACCGCCAAGCGAGCGTCACATTTGATGACGTTGAGAGTGAAAATTTACCACTGGAGCATGCCGGGCTGGCACAAGGATCCCCACTCTCACCGATTCTGTTTGGATTCTACAACTCGGACCTGGTGGACCAAGTAGTAGACCAAAACGGCGGTGCATCAGCTTTTATCGACGACTATTTCCGCTGGCGATCCTACCCAACAGTAGAAGAGAACATCAAGAAGATCCAGGAAGAAGACATCCCCCGAATTAAGGAGTGGGCGCGGCGAACGGGTGCATCCTTTGCTGCGGAAAAGACTGAATTAATTCATCTTACCCGGCGGAAAGCGACCCACGGAAAAGGACAGATTGTCATCGACGGCCAGGTTACTAGACCGGCCGACACTACGAAGCTTCTTGAAGTGATCTTTGATAAAGAGATGCGCTGGAAGGAACATGTACAGGAAGCGGTTAAACGGGCAACTAAAGTGAACATAGCCCTGAGCGGGCTCAGACACCTCCGACCGGAGCAAATGCGCCAGCTATACCAGGCATGCATAACACCTATTGTAGACTACGCATCTACAGTCTGGCACAATCCGCTTCGAGACAAGATACATCTGCGACTTCTGGAGACGGTACAGAGAACGGCTCTTATCCGAATCCTTTCAGCCTTCCGGACAGTATCTACGGCTGCACTCGAAGTTGAGTCCTATATCCTACCAACTGACTTGCGACTCAAGCAGCGGGGACAAATAGTGGCTGCTCGCTTCAGCACCCTGCCAGATGACCACCCGGTTCACCAGGTAATAAGCCGAGCAAAGGAACGCAGCACTTATATCGGTAGCGGGGCCCGCTTTCCCCTAGCCGAAACACTGCGAACCATGAACCTCGGGCGGCTGCAGGCCTTAGAAACAATTGACCCCAAACCACTTGCGCCATGGCGGAGCCAGCCCTTTACAGAAATCGAGATCGAGCCTGATCGAGAGAAAGCGCAGGCCAACGCACTGGCACAGCAATCCACAACAGGTATCACAGTCTTCTCAGACGTTTCAGGAAAAGAGAACCAACTAGGCGCCGCAGCAGTAGCTCTTGACCGCAACCGGCAGATAACGGGGTCTCGACAAATCAGCATCGGCTCAATGGAACACTGGTCGGTCTATGCGGCCGAGCTCATGGCAACCTACTATGCTATCGGGCTTGTTTTCCACCTAGCACAGGAGAAGCATGCTACAACGACAGCAACCCAAGGCCCAGCGACAATCCTCAGCGACAGTATGTCCGCGCTGCAAGTGATCGCAAACTCATGGAATAAATCGGGCCAGCTGATCATCCAGGCTATTCATCAGTCTGCTGCAGAGCTAAAAGCACGAGGAGTTCCGCTGCGATTACAATGGGTCCCCGGGACACTGCGGTAACCCTGGGAATGAAACAGCGGACCGTCTGGCCAAGGAAGCGGTGGGAGCGGAAAAGAAACACCCATTTTCAGCACCTTCTATCGCGGGAGAAGGCTTTCGTCCGCAACAAAATCAAAAGTGAATGGGAACAAGAATGGAAGACCTCTAAGAACGGAGGGCACCTCCGGCGCATGGATCGGGCCCTACCCTCATGCCGCACGCGCCGACTGTACGGCTCGCTTCCCCGCAACCGTGCTTACCTGCTGGCGCAACTTCGGACCGGCCACTCATGGCTCGCCACCTATGCTAAGCAACATGGCTTCCGAGATAACGAGCAGTGCGAATGTGGAGCGACAGAAACCGTGGTCCATGTATTAGTTGACTGCTCGCGGCTGAATGCCCTACGGCAAGAATTGCGGCGGAAAATCGGAGGCGTGTTTAACAACGTTTCAGAAATGCTAGGAGGAGCAGGCCAAGGTAAGGAAGGTAAGTTGAAGACGCCACGCAGAACGGTAGCGTCCTAAGGGCGGTACTGGACTTTGCAGAGGCGTCGCAGAGGCTTCGAAGTCGCGCGGCACGAGGGCGGCAGAACAGAACACCAGGCAACGGCCAACACAGGCCTTGACGAGGCTCCAAGTTCGCCAGGAAGGTAATAGTCTACAGTTAATGGATGTACATAGTGAGTAGATAGTGTTTCCCTGCATATCGCTTAAGGCGAGGGGCCAGCGTATGAATCATCATCGTCCTCATCAAATGTACCAAGTGCATTGCACGACGTAGCAAAAATACTTTGTACAGTGATCTGCGAAATGAGCCTGCCCCCCAGACACTGTTTTGTTGTTTAAGAAATCCTTGGTTGTCAGCTTACTGACCAATAGCCCTTGCAAGGATTGGCTTAACAAAGTATATCTTCTATACAATTGGCTTAGCGTTTGCGCCAAGAACCCTTCAAATCAAATGAGAAGTATCTTGCTGGGCAAGCTGACTTCGCAGCTCACTGTACACAGACACATGTGCATAAATACTGCAGAGATGACACATGAATGGCTTACACCAAAGAGTATGGGGTAGATTTGTCCACTGAACCAAGCCTGGAGCCCAATGTCGTACAGTATCATCAGATACAGAGACTGTTCGGAAGAGCACTACTCTCGGTCATATAGTCCAATCAGGGCGAATTTGTAGCAGGGTCATTTTTCATGAGACGAGACACTGGTATAGAATTCTGGACTACCGCTGTACACAAGGACATATGCAGCGCTCGTGGTGACGAGTGGTGACGACCTCCCAATAGGAGCGGCCATATTCCTAGCAACTCACCTGGGCAATACGCTTCATCCCTTCTTCATCCATCTAACAGTTCAGTGGGACCCAAGGTTTCCGTTACAGACGCCCTTAACGAGCCCTACATTGCTGAAGTATGACCATCTCAAGAAATGATGGATAAACATTGACTTATCGACAGAATTATGGAGACCGTGAAAAGACTATACGCAGTCGAAACAGGAAACGAACAGATTGTGGGCTATATTCAGCTAGAAGAATATCACAGCACATCGATGGTTGATGTGCTCGGCGAGACATGATTTATTGGACCCCTTTTTGTTGAGAAGCACCGATTTACGGAGGGACGCCTGAAAATGCAGCTATCTAGGAAGTGTACTACAGTGTTGATTACTTTAAATGCCTCTATTCTATTGTTTCTATGCTCACGTTATGCGATCATTTCAGTGCGCTTTTCGTTGCTGTTGTTCAAGTATTCAAGTCCAAGATCAATACCGTAACGGAGCGTAAACAAACTTTAGACGTTTGAGCTCCATTTGTCCTGGATCCTAACTATGATACTGCATAAGATTGATGTATTGGCCGTCGTTTTTCTCATCATCGGCTGGACTGCTGCACATAGGCATCCTACCTACCATCATCACCATCGGAGTCGATCTGCTGATCAAGAATCAATAGATGGCTACAGGTCTGTGGCATATTACGCTAACTGGGTGAGTCGTTTGCTACTCAGCTCTTTGGCGTGCACAGCTGATCAGGAAAAGGATATCTACGCTCGAAAATATTATCCATGGCAGCTGCCTGCTGAAAACCTGACTCATGTTCTATATTCATTTGCGAACGTTGGGCCGAATGGCACTGTTTTTGCCTCAGACACCTGGGCGGACGTAGAGAAGCGCTGGCCATCGGCAGACGAGAGTGAAAAACGAGCAGAAAACGAGGATGCACATGGCTGTGTACAAAAGTTATTCGAACTCAAGAAGAACCACCGAAACCTTAAGGTATCTCTGTCAATCGGGGGTTACACATACTCGCAGTCAGGCTCCTTCAGTATCATGGCTGCTACGGATTCTGGAAGGGAAACATTTGCAGCCTCAGCCGTCAAGCTCATGGCAGATTGGGGCTTTGATGGACTGGATATAGACTGGGAGGCATGTGTTCACAAGAATCATGGTTCGACACAAGCTTACGAAATCTCTTCCAGTATCCCACCAATGATGCCGATGCAGAAAACATGGTATTGCTTCTGAAGCAAGTGCGAGAGGTAATTATCAAGGCAAATCCTGGGTTAAGCTACTAATAATAGCACGTTGCTTAGGAGCTTGACCGTTATAGTGACCTACACTCGTTGGAAAGACCTTTTCTTCTCACAGTTGCGGCACCAGCTGGTATGAGATTCACCATTTCTCATGACAGATGCCTAGGACGTTGAACCTGGTATAGGGCCCTCAAAGTACGATATTCTGAAGAAGACAGAGATGGATGCCTATATTGATTTCTGGAACTTGATGAGCTATGACTATACGGGCAGCTGGGACTCCGAAAGTGGTCACATGGCCAACCTTTATGCGTCCATGGACAGACCTGCGTCCACTCCGTTCAACACCAATCAAGCCGTTGAAAGCTATATAAGTGCAAATATATCTTCTAGAAAGATTGTTCTCGGTTTACCACTATATGGGCGGGGCTTTGCAGATACAAGTGGGCCTGGCCAAGCTTTCAACAGCACCCCTGCGGGGGATTGGGAGAAAGGTGTATACGATTATAAGTCACTCCCTCTCAGTGGAGATAACGTGACGGTCTTAGAGAATATTGGAGCAAGTTATGAATATAGCTCGCAAGACCAGGTAATGGTCAGTTACGACAACCCGGACATAATCAGACGCAAGGCAGAATACATCATTGACAAGAAGCTTGGAGGAGGCATGTGGTGGGAGGTCTCCGGGGATAAAGAGGGGAATGATAGCTTGATATCGACAGTGAGTCTACGCCAAGTATTAGAGTGGCAGTCCAAAGCTTACAGCGAAGATAGCTCGTTGAGTCGCTGGGTGGGTCAGGAGCACTGGAGAGATCAGACAACATTTTGACCTATCCTGGATCGTCCTATCGAAATATCCGAACTGGCTGAGGCGCTAAGCCAAGGCCCTAGCAAGCTCGCCAGTCCTGAGAGCTATAGTTTAGCGAAGCCATGAAGGCGTGTGTCATCGTGGACTCTTACTAATAACTTAGGGTGCCGACTCCGAATATGGCAGGCGTCGATAAATCGTGCTTTTGAAATCCGAAGATATATCGATGGTTCGGTTCTTCCTTTTCACATTTGTATTCCCAGATAATTCCAAACTCCTTCTCGGTAAGCTCATTGACCAGTCGCAAGCCATGGGCGTGAGTGCATCATAGCGTATGGGAAGGACACAATTAATCAATACTTCCTCACCCGCCCCGTTCCTTTAGCGTTTCTCTGTCCTTCATAGTTGTTTCCAGAGCTCGCAACGTCAACCTAAGATAAGAACTTCTTGTATACATAGCAGGAGGGAACAAGGTAATCTGTATAACTGGTGTGATAGCCGATCAAAAAACCAATGGTGTTGGCGCTACTAAACGAATATAACTAACATGAGGGAACGGAAGATGTGTACGGAGTAAAGGCAAACACGCGATAACACTAAGTTAAGCGAACATGCGAGCGCGTGGAGCAAGACAAACAAAGCAAACAAATTTACCCCCACGTGATACAATGAATGCGCACTATCAAAACTGATACCCTGCCCACTGTCCAGCACTTATGGGGTAGGCTGCGGGAAAAGAATGTACGCGTTATCATGATTGTCTTGTATCTTATAGAGAATTTCCATGATCATAATTGATTGCTTCGTCTGTGCTTCGACCCTTGCTTTGATTATTGCACCTAAACAACTGTGTAGTCATCAGAGAATAGAACAGTAAGATCGGACTACAAGAACATGGCAGTGCCTTCATAACATAGCTCCTGCACTTCTCGTACTACGGTTTAGCGCTCTGAGCTGTTTGCAGTTGAAGGTAATCATGATAATAATATTATTATCATGAAGATATGCATGTGACACTGTTCTAGTCGGCATTCTCCTGAATTGATTGAGCCGGTTGCAACGTTTCAGTCCAGGCACAAGACTCTTGCTCCCAGTGAAATAAATGGAGAAAGGTACATATATTTCAAGCAGCGATGAGATTAACACTATGCATGTTAGTGTCTTGGTAATCGACCGGAGCCCCACCAAGCTTATCATCAAGAAACGCACCCGAATTGCTTTAAGGACACTTCAGAAGACGCGATAGGCTGATATGTTGGAGCTGTTGATCGATAAATTGCTGTAACGAAGAGAAGATACTATTGATTGTCAATCGTGTTCGGGGCCCCATTATCAGATCAACTAAATGCACTATATCAATCTTATTGAACTGTCAAGGTCGATAACAAGACTTTCTAGACCGCCCTCCACGGACCTACACTGCAATAACCGGCGGCTAAACGCGCGCGCTACGATGGCGTTGAAGTACAGATTAACTTATATATGACATGCTATCTCATACATAAGTTGTTGCGATCTCTGTGCTTCGCATCGGCTTTCCTCCATCTATGGCTCCCACCGGGTTCTTCAAGCTCAAAAGGCATACTTATTGGAAACAAAAATGGGGAGAAAATGGTCCAAAAGAGCAGACAGATGCTGTGATCGTTGTGGGCAACGTCAGAATACCGGTACATAATACGATAATTGCGGCCGGAAGTCGATATTATCGCCAATGGCTCGCCGTTCGTCCGCAAAAGACCGAAATCCCAGAGATACAACTCTCACATAACTTGGAGAGCGGCAACGTCCACACAGCTTGGAGAGTGATAGAGCTGCTATACTGCCAGAGCTACACACTTAAACTTTGCCCTCTTGTGAATCAGCCAGGTGATTGCTTCCTTAATGCTCCTGCATATACCAGTCATGTGGGGAAGGAGACTAATAACCGACAAGACGATAGAGGACACCTAGAACAAAGAGCCGCTGTCTATCAGCTGGCGGAATACCTTGGCTTGCCGCAGAATTTGCAGGACATCGCGTTCGACTACTATCGAAGAGCGATCGAAAAGGAATGGGAGGTTGATGATCTACTGAATTCAATAAACGTGATACTGAAGCCGGTTCTTGAGCTAGACACTCTACAGTCTACTCAGGAGGATGAGCTGCAGGAGAGCCGGATTGTGGATTTGATGTTCTATCATCTTCATAAAAGGCGGATTTTGTTCAAGGACGACCGTCTCCTCAGCTTGCATCTGCAATCATGCTCAGTATTCCTCGACATTTTCGTTCGTTCCTGGACAAATTTTCGTGGTAACTGAGCGGATACACCAAGAATTTCCCACTATAATCGATCTAGCTTTAGCTATTACGCAATATAAATGGAATTAGACCAAGATCAGATTTCATGGGTCTCTTCTAGGTAATCGGTTCGTATTCTATGTGTGGTTGCAAAACCAGAGCACAAGTTGCACAGTTTTAGTACTCTGATGAATTTCCCACTAGGGGGCTAGTTCAAAAATGGGTATAGGAGCGGCTTTACATGGTCGCCGAAGAATTTTTTGGTAAAAGCCGCCATACCTGATCATGTCTGGACTTGGGCATTGATTGTAAGGGAGTCTAGCGGAAGGTTTGTCGCATCTGCAGCAGGTTCGGAACGACCATTGAGGACATCATCCCACTGGAACGACAGTTCCCGGTGCCATGCGAAGTGCGCGTCTGGCACAGTGCGCGGCCGTACCGTTATGTACCTGTGGAGACAAGGCAAGCAGTTTGGTTCAGTGCAACAACTACAGCTTTGGTGAACTCTGTTGAGGCATCTGCCGAAACCGCCCACGAACGACCCCTTCTCTTGCTTTGCTAGAGCACCTAGATAGCTACAATTGAACACACTCTTTTGCTGCAATTCGCGTTCGTTTTCGTTGCTTTGCTTTGCTAGTAATCTCGCGCCTCAACAAACTCTAATCACACGCAGCTGCTCATTAACACTGGGCAGCTGCAGCGAAGTACAGGTGATACAAATTGAATCTCTCTGTTGTCTGCTTCACACCGCCCTTGAGCGTCTCATGGTTGTCATCCCCCTCGTTCCCGTCCCCGTTCCCCCTCATTGAGCAGGGCCGTTCATTCTCAAGTCGACTAGGGTGTTGAACGCCTGCTAATTGCACCTATAGCCAGGGAGGCCCCACTGAGTGGATCCATATGAGTCGTGAACAGATCGTCTGGTCCCCACCAATCTCTTCTCCTGGACAGGCCGTTCATTCTTCTCGACCAAGACAGTAGTAGGTTGACTCTAACTGTCGGGCATTCCCCTAATTGCAACCGGTGATGCATTCACAACCGTAGACGAACTTCCACTAAGAAAAGCGCACCTGCAGCCGGTCTTCCCTGTCCAAAACATCATCATCCAAAACGTAGCCGAGCAGCCCATAAGTACTGCGGGCATCATTATCCCCCGAAACCGGAGAAGGAGCAGCCTGCATCAAGCGAATTGCGGCCCTGCGACGAATTCTTCTCAGGGAGGCCGTATGTTATTCGTCTCCTGCAGATTCTTTCCCGCCCGATGACCGGCCGCGGATAGAGCTGAATGACGCAGCACTTTCGAGCTGTCATCTTAGACCACCACTGTCAGCTGGGGATTTGAGGACGGATCCAAAGTTGCACCACAGTAGCCATAACTGGCCCAAAGTGATCTGTGCTTTAGGTGTCATGGACGGTTGCATAACAGCACCAGTGGTATACCGGCAAATATATCACTACGTAATGTGACCAGGAGTTCTGTGTCAACGCTACAATCTTGGATGCTCCTACGTGTGACTAGGTTCGATGTCCTAAAAACACCGCCAACACAGCTCTTTTCCTGCAAGTGTATAATTAACACTAGTCATATACTAATCTACGACACAATAGAGTGTGCCAAGCAGTCATGGCTGATCTTGATCAACAAGACCCTCTAAAATCAACCAGTCAGAGGGTGTAATAAAATCAGGTGTGTTTATGCGACAAGAAACATGGATCGACAAATATCTGGCATCACAGTAATCATGATGGTGGAAGCGTAAGCATGGTCGGGCTTTATCATGGGCAAGCCTCGAGGTCTCTCTCGCAGTGGCAAGGGCAGATCAACTATCCCCAGTATCGGAAGAAACCTGCCATCTTGTTCGGGGATATGGTCTTTCTTCGTCTTGGCGAATGGCAAAACAGGAACAGCCTAGCAATCAACCCCGTAAAGTGATGCATGGAGACGCATGTGGCGCTACCTAGCAATGAAGGAGGATATCCTAAACGCGGCTAGTCAGAAGCATAGAGCAGTCTTAAGGATCATCTACACGACAACAGTGAATACAAGCACCAGCTGACCCCAAGTTCAGTAGCATACGCGCATTTTGCCGCCAGTGGCTTCGTCAGCTTCTCTGCGGCAACGCGGATAATCTATATCCCAGCAGTTCGGAGACCGGTCGCACAGAATCAGGAAACACGCCACTTCCATAATTAAAAATGACGGGATCCATCCCCTATGAGCAAGGCTCGGAATCTATTGGCTGTTTGGGACTAATCAAATTGGGGATATCTCTAATGTTGTCACTGCCCAGTCCGCGTCGACATCAGCAGTCGTGGCCCAAATTAGGCCATGTCTCGTAGCAACAATAGAAGAACATTCTCGAGGAAATCTACCTACCACAGAATATCTCGGAGCGACCGCCATGACGACCATTGTAGGGGAGGCATCGGGTTTCCGGAAGAGAGCGGACCTCAGAATGGATCAGGCAGCAGTTAACACTCACGTGAGGTTATGTCATTGCAGATCTGTTCGTCAGTTCTTGGCGAGCTCCAGCGATCGCTGCTACCTTGCCATGCCTCGCCCACTGCATCTACACGGATCAAGGGTCGAGGAGAGGGCATCGATTAAGTTAAGCTAACACAGGTTTGAAACTCGAAAGAGCGCCACATGACCCGTAATTCTTGCTCTCTCGAATAAGTTCCAGTAAGCAGTCCAGGAGGTTCTTGGCGTATCTATATATATTCTTGAAATTTATATATATATATACACATAAATAGACGTCTGAATATGCACGGTTAATTTCTGCTATTCATAGTATCCGAATTTCTAGAAATGCATTTCCATTATTCAAAAGGGCGACACTTCGCGATGAGTGACCCACCATCCGTGGGCGATATTGTAGATATTCAGTCTCCAACCATGCACTTGCTCAGTGTTATGACTTCTCTATCAACATCTCGCCTCAGCGAAAACGGTGCCTTTGACCAGCAAAGGTACACTAGCGGCCAGGCTCGAATTTTCTCGAACATATTAGAGGAGCGCTTAGAGGGAGCGCTAGACCGAATCGAGGGCACGCTTAGCCTCGTTCAGCTCGGATTAACAAATCTTCCCCGGAGACCACACCACCGGGTCAAACACGTGTCCGGACTAAAATAGCGTGCCTCCTGACGAACATCACGCTCGCACCACGGAGGGCGTACAAACACGAAGCGTCTGGCGTGTTGCATCCGGACAATCCATCTCATAGTCTCCGGTACTATCCCAGCAGTAAAAAATCACCTATCATCACTACCGACATGTTCGTGGGGGTAAGCATCCAAGGATCCTCCAATGATGATGGATCAGCTCATGTGCGAATCCTGCCGCTGCACCTGGACAGTCTGGTGGGGCTGCGAAGATTTCAGCCGTGTGCCCCCGCTGCTGGCTCGTATATCTTCCCATATCTTTGCCAATCTCCCTCTTCCTTCCCAGTCCCAGTCGCTCACCGACAATCTTCCGCGCTCCCTCTGTCGGCTCTCTTTCTGCGAATACTCCAGCGCACTGGGGTCGACCACGATCACAATGTCGAGTGCGTAGTGTTTTGAATGGGTGTATTGGTCGCGAGACGCATGTCCGCTCATCTAAGACACTGCAGGAGAGCCGAGCGGATGGCAGAAGTCTGGCTATGACTCGTCTGTCTGAAGAGTGCAGCTGGCGCCTGAAGATGGGGCTCTACTGGTGGAAGAAAATGGATGGGCCGACCACGCCCTTGTCAGCTCGTGAGGCATCCGTGTCCGTTTACTTTGTTCACTGGGCGCCGTCCAGCTGATGCCGTGATGTCGCGATCGGTCCGTCGAGCTGGAAGACATCCAGTGAAAGGCGTTGATTCGGACTACTAGTTGTGCTCACTCCGTTCCTACTTTGTCGCAGCCGAAGACCGGTCTCTGTGGTAATGGCATTGAGGTGCGAAGCAGAGTGGCTGGTGCTTTCGTCTGTCGGTGGCACATGTCATCGCGAGCCTCGACGGCGACAGACCTCCAGGCACTGAGACGGCAGCCGGAGTAAGGCGGGCCACCTGCTTCTGGGTCCGTCGGTGTTGCGAGGCTCGTGGGCAGTGTCTCCCAAGTGTCTCAGGCTGCATTGCTCGACTCGTCTCTTGCTGGGCGGTTGCTGTGCTCGAGCCTCGTCTACCGGCTTTCCCGCGGCGCTCTACTCGGACGCTGACCAGTTCACCCGTTCTTCGGCGGTCGACGCTCATACTGCTGGTGCGGTCGTTTTCCGGATTCCTCGGCCCCTCTGGCACATACCTGTTCCACCGGCGGATTGGCTAGGGCCTGGCGACTCCCTGGTCGGGTAAGATGCTTCCAGTCATTGGTTGCTACATTCGCACAAATGGCGTCCCATCATTGGGTTCCGTCTACGTTGCGTGCTGGGGGATGCGCCGCGCTTACTGATGAGGCCAATGACACTGTTGGTGACCGTTGATTCTATCCAATCATCCATTCATCCATCCCTAAGACTCGGACAGCAGCAACGGCATAACAAGCGGTTCTAATCGGTTCTTCGAGACCCAATTCGCACCGAGGTCGGGATTGGCACATCCCGGCGAGCCTGGACCCTGGAGCGTGGCGCTCTGTCGCGCCTTCGCACCCTGGAGGCGGAAGGTCTCTACATCTCCCATCCGCCGCCGAGGATTTCGCGCAAGCGCGATGCCGCACTTTTGGTTCCCAGACGGTGGCGACTAGCGTTCGGTTAGCGGCTGATATTTGGGCGATGGTCTAGGATCGCAACTCACCGAATTGGATCAAGGACCAGAACCTCTCTTCGATCGGCGGGGGGATCTCATCGTTCCCGGACGGGGCAGGATCGGTACACGAGGATGGCCGCACGGTCTCCGAGCGCGGGGGCGAGCTGCTGGTCACGGGTGACGCGGGCCCGGCGGCCTCCTGTTGTGTGGACGGCACTCGCAATGGCTCGGCGGGGATCGTCTGCACTCGAACATTGCCGTCGTCTTCAGCATGCCCCGAGAGCGGGCGTTTGCGGGTTTGGCGATGCCACTGCGCCTGGATGGCCGGGCCGCTTCTCCGGGTTCCAATGTCCTTGAGCCAGTTCTGTTCTCGGACCTTCCATGTGGTCCCTTGCTGTTCTTGCTCCTTCATCCAGGGCCACAAGTGTTGGAGCTCCGCCTCTTGCCACCTCCGTCGTGCCCGTCGCGTGGTTGATCTTGCCATGTTTGACCGCCAGGTCTACCCGGGAAGCCGACTGCTCTGTGCAACGAGGGCCGTCGGTTGAACAGGACCGCATCGACTCTGCGAACAGCAGATGCACGCGCAGAGTTCCCACTCGTGGTCAGTCCGCGTTGGGCGGCCGACGGCTGTGGTGGCCCTGGGTGGGGTACATGCCTGTTGCGGCCATTTCGCCGATTTCTGCGTGTTGCGCGCATGAGTGCAACAGCGTTGGCATCTTGCGTTGACAATTTTCGCGTTGATCCGGTCTCGGTGGATCCGTTCCTTGCCATGGTCTTGAAGCGGCATGGTGGCGGCGCTAAGCGCAATGGCAGAGATTAGACATCCACCACCCCACACGTTGCGCACGCCGGCCGAATTGGCCATGGGCGCTCGGCGGCGCTATTTACAACCGGTCGTCGCAGACACCAGGGGCTCGAATGAATTGTTCGGTACCCGCGTACGCGAGCGCTATTAATATGGCACGAAGGCATTGTGCAGCACTCCGAGTGTCCATTCCGTCATCCTGATTAACTCCTCTGGTACCACAAACACGGCAATATGGGACGGAGTACACGATCGCGAAAGCAGCGCCGTTCGTTGCTCCCATACAAGACCGAAAGCTGTTCCGAGTCGGGACCGGGAATCGCGTCGACACGCAGTGATCTGGTGGCAACACCAGCGGCAGAGTGCAGCCGTGTTGAACGCAAGGATAGCCGGCAGGATCTTGGCCAGGATCTTGGCCAGGACGAATCGAATCTGGCGGCCATCAACGGTATAGTGAGTTTTGAATCCCTCCTCCATTTGCAACGCGCTGACGGGCCTCGTCTGGCTAGATGGACGAGCTCCGCCAGGGCGAATATCGCCATTTCTTCAGTTTCCTGGCCAACGTTTGCGCTGTCGCCCGGAACATGATCGATCAGGGACCACCGGGACTGTATCAAAAAGCCCAGGAATTTACGAAGGAGGCCCCGGAATTGCTGCGCTATATCATGGAGGGGCCGAATACAACTATTATACCTCTTGCAGCTCCCATTCTGCGCAAAAAGGACGACTGGTCCGGGGGTGCCGGTGAACAGCGTGCCAGGGACGGCGGTTCATCTCCCTCGGAAACAAGCACGATCCAGCCGCCGAGCCCTTTCTTACGACGATCAGCGTCCCCCGATGTTGCGCCCATCCCACAGCATGCGGCTGACTCGCAGCATGCGGACTCTTCCCCCGCTACGACGGCCGCGACAGAACCCACAACCGGTCCGGGGACGCCGACCGTTGTCTCCCATCAACATCCGCACAACGTCGCATCGGATCTGCAACGGGATCCCCATAACTCCCCTGCCGGTCGCCCGCACAATGATGGACCGGAAAACCAGCAGCGGCCGTCTGACATCCCGCCTGACGTCCAGGACCCGACGGCGCTCGTCGCGTCGGAGATCAGCCATGCGCAGCACCCGTCCCCGGGTGAATCGTCCGCGTCCATGCTGTCCGCTGGCCATGGGCCATCGACGGAGCCTTGCTCGCAGCCATCGCAAGGCTACGCGGTGCTGCCCCAGGCCACCACGACGACAACGACGACGCCGCCGCCCATGAGCCATGCGACGCAACCGGAAAGCTCTGTTCTGAATGGCCCCGTCTATGGAGCCCCGTCAACTGTGGTCTACAACCCGCTTGCTCAGATGTATGCGGGGTCCCTGTGGGGGGGTCCTGCATTTCCGTCTCCTTCGGGCCAGATGCTGCAGTCCGGTCAGTATCCCTCTCTGGGTCACTCGACCGGTTTGATGAATCCGCTAGTTCCACCACATTATATGCCGCCGGCTCACTCAGGACTGTGGAATCAGGGACTGTCTGCGCAGACCGCACAGTATCCGACTCAAGTCGGTTACCTACCGAACCAAGCCGTACCCGACGGCTCAATGGGATCAATGGCCATGGCATCCGCAGGCGGATACGCGGCCCCCTCCGAGCCCTGGTAAAGGTGACTGTTTGCTGGAGTGTAGATCGGTTCGGCATGTCTAGTACTATCTAACCTAATACACAATGTTCAACCTTGCATGATGGCATGATAATTCCTTGCTTTGAATTGATATACACCGTCTTATAGACTATGCACTGCAATATCCATGATGGCTGCAACGAACTGTAACCCTTGTGCATTTCCTGACATGTGCTGCGCCTACTGACTCGAGCCGGCGCCTGCTCCGCAGTAGGCATCGTTTGGTGAGTTTCCCCACCAAGTGCTCCGGTGTGTTGCACTTAGTATCCCTGCCGGGTAATCTCCGAATGGTGGAAGAAGAGGAAGCGGATGATCAACCTGCAAGATGACAGAACCCCCGATATTCGAACTAACATGCAAAGTTCCACGAACCGTGGTTGTCTGCTCAGCGGATCAGTGTTTTAGGCTAGTAGCTTCAGTAGCTCTTAGGTCATCTCTAGGCAGTCGATTCTGTGGATGCACATACTTCGGCCAGTGGCCGTTCGTTGCAACTGTCCCTTCGCGGTCCATTTGCAGTTTCTGCTGCTCCTTTCACGCAGAGCGAAAACTTTTCATCATTCGGCCGAAGCAACATCGAGAACGTGCTGGGACAGCAGATCCGCGCCTCAGGAGCGGGAAGTCACGGTCCCATGGTGGAGTCGTTCTCTGTTCAACGTCGCAAGCAGCTCACTGCCGCCCAGACCGAGCATCGGAACTTACCCATGACTCAGGCGGTCGCTCTTCCGTACATTCGAATCGTAAGCAAGAAAATACGTAACACCTAGCGAGGGGAGGCGTTTCTGGTGTTTTCAAGCGTATTGACAGTATCTCGCCATCATGTTCATTCTGAGCTCCGCAAATCGAGGAAGAACCGAGCGCGTTGGCGTGCCAGATCAGAGTGGTGGCCCATTATCCTCCACTGAAATCGGACCTAATGGCCTGTATTGCCGACATCTCCCCACAGGAACTGACCTGCTGGATGGCGAGCGATCGCTCGGACATAGCCGAAACAATGCTTTTGGAGTCAGCTTCTGCCTCCGGTAGCGTTAGGAGCCTGTGAGGACTATTGAAGTCGTACCACGGTAGAAGACTCCGCGCTGCTCCGTCCGTCTATTGGACGGACGGAGCTGGGAGAACAAATCACGAGTCAGTAGTTACCGTTGTGTCAGACACAACCACGATCAGTACTGGCTCAATCGACGATGAGGGCCCGATCCACTCCAACCATCAATCGTGCAGATCTAGACCCTCCGCAGGGCGTCTCCTGAGCGAATCAGAGCGACGGTTTTTGCTCTCGCATCTCTCCCAGAAACGGATTGTTTACCAAGATAGGATATATTGCCGCCCAGGCGCGTTTAGCGACTGCCCTATGATGTGCGTTGACTGTTGGCAGGCCGATGACCGTCCGTTCCGCAGTCCGGCCATCTTCATTTGGAAAGAAGGTCCACTTCGGGCGGCGGCGTTGGGGTCGAACGGCGGACTCGCTCTTCCCTAGGTCTACGAGAAAACCAAAAGAGTCTAAATTACATTTAGCTCCTACAACGGGGCCACCCCGCGGATAACACAGCAGTACTATCAATCGAGACGCAGCAATGTTTGCCATCAG